TCTTTCCCTCCTCTCCTTCCTCTACTTCTACATTTTTTTATGCTTTTTTTGAGATCCAGACTTTGTATGGGAGATATTAGTAGGCTTTTCTAGATGAGAGAGTACTACTTTCTCAAGCAAGAGATTCTTTTGGACAGCATTTACAATCAATGGCTAATGGTTCTGGTCCCTGACTGACCTCTGCTGCTTCTGGCATGCTCAAAGCAAAGAACACAGTCCTTCAGGGAAAGCCATACCAAAAAGCTAGTAGAAAGGCAGAAGGATTTAATTTTTGTTTCAGCTAGACTTTGCTATTGGCAAAGCATCCAAATGTATCACTAAATCATGAAGCAATAAATTGAGGCATAAGTTGATAAAATCTACAAAGTTCAATTTGTAGGAAGAGTAATTCTTCACAAAACTTAGAATTTGCACTGAGAAAAACTTCCAGTTTTGTTTCTTTAGTACATTCATAAGCTTACCATCTTGCACTCCCTTCAGCTTCAGGGATATCACATCACACCAACATAAACACTGGCTTCCTCCTCTCCAGACCAACATGTTGTCTATATTAGTTTATCCTAGAAGTCCTTTATGTGCTATCCTCCCATCTGATTTCAGGGCCTTCCTGCCACACTCCTAGGCCAATGGCTCCTCCATATCACCATTCTCCTCCTTCCCACCCGCTGAGTCTGATACACGTCCCCTGTGCAGCTCTTGCCTGCCATACCCTGAGCTCTGGCTGCCCCTGCCCTGCCATCTCACAGCTCTCTCTTCCTCCTTCCCCTTGACTGTTTCTTCCTGTGCTCTTCTCCCTTGCTTTGTTTCTTTTCTTTTCCTCCAAAGAACTGCTCACATATCATATGGTTTTTTTAACTCATTAAAAGCAAAGCAGAAGTGACACAACCATCTAAAGAAGCCACAGACAAGGTGTTTGGTTGTGTCCTGCCTTTCTGCTGCATCTAGTGCGTCAGTGCCTGCCTGCAGTTGGGGCTCTCCATCATGGCCAAAGTGCACTGGTCAAAAAATCTGCTGGAGGAAGATGGGAGAAAGAAAATCTGGGGAGACATGAGGAAAGTGTGTGCTTCATGACACATGCTGGTTTCTGGTTTAAGGATGGCTTTGTGATCACCTTTCAAAAAAGGCGTCAAAGCAGTCGAAACTACAGATAAAAAGGGAAATAGTAAGGTTCTGAACAGACATTCCCTTTTTTGTACCCTCCTGTCCTTTTCTGGCTCGGTTTTACAACTCCACTGGTTACCAACCAGAGGCCAAAAAGTCAGTAGAGACTTGAAGATCCGCCCAAGCCTCACAGTGGTTCAGCTCAGGCCACTTGCTGAATGAATCCCACTGTGTTCCTGGATAGAACAATGAAATAAAGAGGAAGGGACACATTTTGGAAAAT